GGGGGATTTGAAATTCCCTTTTTGTCGGGAAAGTGTTTCCTTTGAGTAAAATTTTATCTAGGTACACGAAGGTGTCATGGTAAAAAGTCTTTGATCACATGACTGACTTATGTTAATGCATTTAATGTCATTTCAGAGTAGTAATCTTCATGCTGTTTCAGAATTGAAAGTTCCCTTTCTGCTCAATGATATGTATTGTCTTTTTTACCTTCCTTTGTTTACCAAAATATTTCTGACCTTTTAACTGCCCATGGACAGTTTTGTTGTATACAAACAGCAAAATCAGGAATGGGAAAATATTTGAAATCTGTGTGGAATGTGTTCTCCACAAGTGCTTGAACTTTGAGGAACTTCACCATTCAAAATTCTTCAAATTATATGGAGTCCATTAGTGGCAGGTTGTAAATATTGTGGCTAATTTTCAAGATTGATAACAGTCTGGCCTATGGTTGGCATACTAGATTTTAAACAAAAGATGAAGCTATTCTGATTTGGCCACCAAAAACAAAGAATGCACCTCTCTTCCTCCCCCCCCCCCCACCCCCCACCCGCACCCCCAGGTGCCTCCTCGCAAATTATTTAATTATTTGTCACAGTTTTTAAATCATTTAGTTCAAATTTCTGATTTGTCTAGATTATCTAGGTATTGAATTCAACTTTTTTAAAAATTTGCTAATTTTTAAAAGATTTTACTGTACTGTTTAGCAATCATTAACTGCCGCATATTGAAGTGGCTGGTGCATTGTGCCACGTTTTAAAACCCATTTGAAAGCAAAGGAAGAAAAGCAAATTATTGAAATTCCTGACTTGATATTTATACATTTCCCAGCTTTGTATTTATTGTGGCCATAAATTGGCAGATTAAAATAACACCCTTTTCATTACTTGGACAAACTGCATTAAGCCACTTGTTGTTGGGATTTGTTAGAAGCCATTTTAATAGATATTACTTCTTCCAAGAAATGCTGTCATTATTCCCAGGTCGCGTTTTGCTTCGGGCGGTGACTGGCGGTGATGCGTATTCCACTGATGTAAGCATTGATCACTGAAGTTGAATAATTGCACTGAATATTAATCTTTCTTTGTGGGTGTCTGAAAACTGGGTATTTGTGAATCTCTTGTTAAATAAATATCTCTAGTAATTACAGATGTAATTTGAATGAAATTTACTTAAAATCGCATAACATTGTTTTCTTACTTGGATCAAAAATGCTTTTCAAGTATTGTAAATTGGAGTGTTCAAAGCAGTGTTATAACTTGAATGTGTCTCTTGCTGGATCTTTCCTAGTTAGTAACCCCCTGTTTTGTCCAACTTCCTGAGAGGAATATAATACTAGTATGTAATTAACACCTCCCCCCCCCCCCCCTCCACATTCTCTCTCTCTCTCTCTTGTTCTGTCCATGGTCCCATATTATTGATATGTATAAAAACCAACAATAATATACTTTGTGGCTGCATAGTTAATGCAATAGGGAACCTGTTCATCCCTAGTCATTCTCCATATTACTAGTAGATCTTCCCAGGGAAGATAGCACATGATTGATTTTTACACAGGGGGATAGTGCTGGGTGTAATTGACCCAGTGTGAACTCCTGTTGCCCTTTACTGAGGCGTGTTTCCAGCTCTTTTGTGACAACTTGATTTAGAACAGTGCTATCCTGGCATACCTTAAAGATGTACTAGGATCAGAAATATAAAGAAGTGCGAAAAAAAATTTATAATAATTTTAAATAACTATGATGAAAGTACAATTGGGACTTAAAAAACTGATTGTAGCTGATATTTCTAGTACAACAACAATGGCAGTTGAAGATGATGCATCTTTGCCTCAGCATTTCATGGTATTGTTTTCTAGTCACAGGCAGGTGATGTAACTGCATATGATACACCTTTAAAGGCACTAGTATGGACATATATTGTAGTCTAATGTTATTGTTTTGCAGTCAAGTGTCGTCTTCATATTTTTATCTACAAGTACTCTTTCTCCAAGACATTGACTAGTACTTAAGTTATTGATATATTTATGGCATACACAACAGAGACATTAGATTGGTTTCCTATGGTTTAGAAGTTGTGTATACTCGGTCTTCAAGATGGTATGTCCTAAGTTAAGCGGTCACAGCTTCATTGGAAATGCAACTTACTTTATAGAGGAAATGAACCTTGCTATCCCAGACAGATGACCAGATAGAAGGATAGAGTGACTCTAATCTGCTGGCCTGATAACTAATAGTTTTGGATTATTTGCAGGCTGATATTGCTTGGGTTTGAACTGGCTTTAAACAAATTATACCAGCATAAAACATTGGACTAGTAAATTTTATGTAAATTGTTGAGGTTTGTTTGTAAAATGTGCATGTACAGTTGGACTATTGGTTTAACTGTTTAGGGACCATACCACAGTGTTTTTTCTCTTTCTTTCCATAATATATTTCATCACCTTTATTGCCATCTATTTTCTTATCAGTTGTTCATACATCTACTCTTCATATGATATTCAAAATTCTACAATACATACATTGTAAACAACACAGAGTAATATAATATAATATATTCCATTTTACCACCAAATTATTCTCAAATCTGTGCTTGCCATCAGACCACATGGACCTTCTGGGTGCGCTTCGCTATGCCGAAGGTTCGCTATGCCGAAGGTTCGCTGTGCCGAGGGTTCGCTATGCCGAAGGTTCGTTATGCCGAGGGTTCGCTGAGCCGAAGGTTCGCTATACCGAGGGTTCGCTATGCCGATTGTTTTTAAAAAGATGTTAATTTTACACACACCCAATAACTACAACAAGTTCGCCAAAAATAATTAGAGAANCCCCCCCCCCCAAATAAAGCGTTGTCATCCTTTTAAAGTACACACAGAAATAGCAGAGAGATGTACCTAAAACTGTGGTTTTGACCATCATCATATGTATTCAGTATTAGATTTCATATTGATGCAGACAGGAAATAATGGATTTAAGCATTATTATTATTGACAGACAGGGGTTTAACCAGGGAGTCCAAATTCATTTTCTTTCTGAGAATAAGTTTATTTGCTCCAACAATAATAGTAAAAAAAATAAAAAATTAAGAAATGACAGTCCAAAATCGAAATAGGAACCTCAAAGACTTTTGTAAGTTTGCCTGGCTAAGGTCTTGCTACCTGAGCTAAGAAGATTATGATTCATACCTTTAGAGAGAGGACCTGAGTGCATGATGACCAGTCATACCTATTGTACATGAATTGTAACCTGTATTTATATTACCTATTTCTATAGAGATATAAATATATGGATACTCGTTATGTAGGGATTGGCGAGGAGGACCTGGTTGGTGTACTTGTCATGTCTTTGTCAAATCAAATAGATGTGAGGACACTCTTTGTGTTAGTAAAGGACCACATCGGACTCAGGAGACCAGTATGAGGACTTACATGTGTCATAGTGAGGGTTTTTTAATGTCACATCTCATTATCCTAAAATTAACTCATTCATCCAAAAGAAAGTGCCAATTCCCTGAAAAAAAGGACAGAACTAAATGGTTTTGGCTATAGCTTCAGAAAATATTGGTGAGTACAATCCCCTGCCATGAATTTCCATTGTAATTCCAGAGTTGTGGCGGTTAATTGTGGGGTACGAGGGGAGAGAGAGAGAGAGATGGCTACTGAGGCACTACTGTACGTCATCAGATGATATGGCAGGGGAGAAGTGGGGAAGGGGGTTGCAGTACATTGTGCACTTTCTTAACTGTGCTGTGGTTTGGGATATGAAGGGAGGCAATACAAGTCAAACTATACCTTATATTATGAATTATGTGTTTAATGTCCATCTCGACATTGGGTCTCTGAATGAATCATATTTTCTTTGTATGTTTCTACATTTTGCAGCCATAAATATGCATAGAAATGACATCATTAACCCTGGCAGTGGGAAGCTTAGTGCCTTATTATTTTCAAAAAGATCAAAGCAGATTTGATCAATATGAGACCATCTTTTTTATGATGTGTCATTATAAATTTCATTTTGTTGCTTCAGGGAAAAGTTCTGTACATTGTGTTGTCTCCAGTGTTGTTGTTCAAGAACAGCAAGATTTATAACTTTATTTGGGTCATTATAAGGCAGGTTTACTTTAGGGAAAAGTGGCTCAGATTTTGTTCTATGTTGTACAAGTAGGAACATATGTGAACCTGGTATGCACTTTGCCTGATCCAGTTGGCTACTTGTAAATGTGCTAATAAATTCGCAAGTAAGCCTTGTGTTGGAGTATGCGGAAGTGCATGTTATTTGATAATCTATAACCTTATTGAAGTTGAGAAATTAGTAAGTGGCAGAAGTATTATGAAAAAGAATCTCTTCCAGTAAGTCACACTGTGCCCTTGTATTGCTTTAAATTATCTGCAACGAACCTGGTATGCTCTTAGCTGATCCATTTACCCTTGTCTAAATGTTCTAATAATTCATAAGTCACCAAGTCTCAGTGGAGTGGATGGAACTGAATGCTATTTAATATTCTGTGATCTAATTAAAAGTTTCTTGCATGATAATAGAAGAACCAGAGGGAGTAGGTAATTAGCTGATGAATGCATAACAAATGAAATGAACTGCGCCATTTGTTTTAATAACGTTCATTGGTCGTTCACATAAAACTGTGAGGTTGCATTTTGTCTTTTGGGGGATTTTCTTTGTTCTGACAGCCTGGTTACTGTAACTGAAATTGAATAAAATATATGAATGGAAAATCTAACTTCATGAAGCTGTTGTGAGAAAAGCAGTAATTTAAATGTTCTTTCTTTTTGTGATCTTATACTAGTAAATTAGTAGTAATACATTTGTCAAGGTTATTGGATCACTGTTAGTGTTGTTTTAGAAATTTAACTCAGTTTGATATACATGTAAAGTCATGTGCATCTCGTGACAAATATTTTACCAAATTAGAGAGGTAAGAAACAGATCTATGGAGTAATTGTAAACATCCTGGCTAAAATTCAATTGTACTGTAACACTGAACTATGGACTGGTTGCTCCTGTCAGTTTCTATTATGATTGTTTTTTTAAATTTCAGATAGTTGAATGTAAGACCCCCACTACACGATGGCGCAAGCTCGGCCCATAAAATGTGTGGTTGTTGGGGATGGAACAGTGGGCAAGACTTGTATGTTGATATCATATACCACAGATAGTTTTCCTGGGGAGTATGTGCCCACAGTGTAAGTATCATGATACTCTCTTTCCTTCTTCTTTACCTCTGGTTCACTGTTTAAAAGCTGTATTGTTTCAAGATTTAATTATAACATTATTTTGGATACATAACATTGTAATTGAAAACAAGTTGATAATACAGATGATGTGTGTGTAAATTTGTGTATATGAGACTCAGAGAGAGAGAGAGAGAGAGAGAGAGAGAGAGAGAGAGAGAGAGAGAGTTTGATGGAGAGACCCGCAGATAATATATGGCAGACCCACTTAAAACCAATGCTGACATATCCCCTGATGGTCTCTCCCTCCTCCCTCTACACACGCCTTCCCTGCAGCCTAGCAATTAAACCCGGAGCAGAAATTTAATACATTTAATGGTGCGTGTGGAGGTGGGGAGACCATTAGGGGATTAGACAACTTGCTTTTAAGTTAGGTTGGCCATATTAAGTCGACGAAACACTTAGGGCGTATTCCCATAGATTTTAGATCCATCTATCCCTGTGGGGAGTCTCACTAGATTACTGTCAGATAATCCGGCTTAAATGTCCGTCCCGCGTACTATAAGATGTAAGGGGGTAATTAACTTTCGTGCCCGCTCGGCTGACAGCTATTTAGCGTGAACCCCCAGGGAGTTAGGTCGATCTAGTTTGGACCGATCTAATCTCTGGGAATGGGGTCTTAGTCTGCTCTGAATGCAGCCATTGTCTCCACAATCTGCATGTGTATTAACATAGCCCAGTGTGAGTCCCTTTTCACATCCATCTTCTGGCAGGATACTGGGGCCATACATCCTGTACTGGTTTCCTATATAACAGTTTGACAACTTAACTAGCCTGGTTATTAAGTTTGAGAGTCAACAAAATGACACAACCAATTATTTTCTAGTACCTTAGCTATACACCAGGAAGCGAACTTGCAGATTACTTAATTGTGAAAGGGAGTAGCGTAATTACATGTAAGAGCACATTCAGGAGAGCAGACTTACAGATATGCGGATCAAATATGGCCGACCCACTTGAATACTTGTTGTGTGATTTCTGCAGGGAATCTATTCAGTGTTTAATCGGAAATTGAGCGTCAGGCTTTTTATTAGAGTGGGTCGCCATATTTGATCAGCGGATCTGGTTAGTCTGCAGTTCCGAATGTGCTCCTAGGACCTGTGTACTGATACGGAGTGTATGGCTTTAGTATTCTGCTCCTTACGTACAGGACCTTATCCGAGGACAGGAAGACTTCCCCACAGTCAATTTAATCAGACTGGATGAAAATTTAATGCAGCCCTAAAAGCTTTGCCCGGAAGATGAAAAACCATTTCCACTCTCTAGTGGCAGCTTAGAAAAACAACTGAATTGATCTGCGTATTACTGTTACTGTTACTGTAGTACTAATTTTGTATTTTGAAGAATATAGGTATAGATTAGAGGTAGATAGTTCTAAATTTTTTATCACAGGAGGGATTAAGTGATTTTTTAAATTGCCTAAACTGTTATTTAATAAAATAAGATCTTTTCTCCTCTTTCCTTTCAGTTATGATTTTCCACTTTAGTCTGACTAAATTGAAGCTAACTCTACCTAGGTTTTTCACATTCCCTAAAGCTAATGAACAGAATGAAACCAGAAAAAAAAAGAAAAAAAAGTTAATGGAATTTCTTATAAAAAAAATAATCAACCCTTTTACAGTATGTATATTCTGATTTGATTCTTACAAGCACATCACTCACCGCTGAGTGTTCTTAGACCCCATTCCCACAGATTTTAGATCCATCTATCTCTGTGGGGAATCTCACTAGATTACTGTTAGCTTAGCCGGCTTAAGTGTCTGTCCCGCCTACTAAAAGCTGAAAGGGGGTAATTAACTACCGTGCGCGCTCGGCTGACTGCAATTTAGCGTGAACCCCTAGGGAGTTAGGTCAATCCGGATGGATCAATCTAAATCTCTGGGAATGCACTCTTAGGCTAACATTATCTTTGCTCAGGTGGTGTTGACGCGAGGTGGAGAGGAAAATACATTAAGATTGATAAGAAAATCTTTACCACCCCACCACCAATACCACCAACAAACTGGATCAACAGCATTAAAATGATTACTTGATGCAGTTACTATAGTCTGTAGCTTTTTGTGTAAATATATAACACCCTGAAAATTGAATTTTTAACATTGCTTAAATGAGAAGGGCGAGTGAGTATGCTTGTATAGAAGAAGGTCTATTCAGGTTTAGAAACGTGGGGTGTATAATTAATATAACTAGTAGTGTATATTGTTTCAGATTAACCCCCCTCTCCTTTCCCATACTGTTATATATTGCTCTGCATATTGAACTATACAAAAATTATTAGAAATCCTTCTCTTTCCTTATAATATATTGTTTCAAATTGCTCTACATATGCTCTACAGATGAATAGAAAAAATCATATCCGTTATGAATTGTGATAAAGCGCCTCATCACCTCTTGATAAATTGACCCGAAATTGGAAAATTTGCAAGCTGTTGAACCAGGCATTAATCACTGAAATTTATGAACACCCTGTTTCCTTTCTCTGGTATTGGATCAATATAGGACAGCTGAGATTGCTCTACATCCATGATACAGGGATGAAATGTTTTATTATGTGGTAATAGACCAGTCATCATTGCATCCCAATAAATTGACCCTTAAATCTATTCCACTTAGTCTGTATTGATACTTACTAGTCAAAGTATGCCCTGTTTAGAATCTTTTTGATATCTGGGACATAGTTATTACTCATAAAAATGCAAGCAAATTGATTGAGCAAATATTTCAATTTTTTTTTTCAACTTCACCATTTTGGTGGATACATGAGTATCAGTGATCTTGGTTCGATCGGATAAACAAGCCTAATAAAAAACCCTCACCTACAAAATAAAAATAAAATCTCTTGTAATTTAAAATCCCCTACCCCCACCCACCCACAACTTTCTCTTTGATAGTGAAACTTTCTTTCTTTCTTGGATATATATCTGATATGATGTAAAATTACAGCATATTAAATGGCGTGAGTCAGAAGCAGTCCATTCAATGCTGTTGTTTATTGCAGCATCCTGGGCTTGTGGTTGAGATCTGGTGTGTTTAAGTGCTGTACAAATATTTGTGTATTAGCCTGGGTGATGGCTCTAGTAGTGCTTGGAAAACACTTTTCCTTTATCTCTGTCTGTTGTAGAGTCATAACTCTGATTATTACTGTGGTTTTCTTTTGTAAAACTTGTCCTCAAAAGAGACACACATTCAGACTCTCTTTCTTTTTCTCAGACAAACAAACACAAACACACATACACACACTTGCTAAGAATATCTCACACACATCCTAAGAATCTATTTCTCTCTCACACACACGCACTACAATTTCTCTCTCTCTCTCTCTCTCTCTCTCTCTTTCTATTTCTCTCAGATACACACACACACACACACACACACACACACACACACACAGGGGCGGATTTAGGCCGTCTTCTGGGTCAGATTTTCAAGTTTACATTGACGGGTATCTAATTCTTTCTGTTGGAAGACGGTCAAAATTGGAGGATTAATCAACAAAGATAATTTGGAAGACTGTCAGTAAATAGCATTGGATCCGCCCCTGCACACACACACTTGAAGGTATACACACGTCTGGGCTCTGTCTTACCAATGTACCACACAAGCCTGTTCATGTAGAAAAAGCTGCAAATCTGGCATAGACTCATCCATGCAGTGTCCATATTATAAAGGGACTGTCTAAACTTTCTGATTTGAAAACCTGCAAATATTGGCTCGAACACAGGGTGCGGTGGGGGTGGGGGGGATCTGGGTTGGACAGAAATAACTTTTTTTTTCACAAAAGGTCCTCTCTTCAAATTTGTTCTAGGTTTTAAGTCATTTCTCTAGTTAGGTCAACTCAGAGAGTAAAAAGTCAGTTTTTCAGGCCTCCTGTATAACATAATTTACCTAGGTTCTGAGTTCGATCAGTGAAGATCTAGTAAGAGATTGAAAGCAACCTTAGAATGTTGGCTATGGAGAATATAAAAAAGTTGAAACTTTATTTTGCTAACACTAAAGGTCTGTTTATAAAAGGTAATGGTTTTATTTTTGAGTCTGGTTTTTCTGGAGGAAAGGTCTTGCTGGCACATCTGACTACACGCTCATAAAACTTCCTCTTTGAAATCTAAAACACAGATGTGTTTTTCCAGGTTTTATGGTATTGCCCAGATCAGGTCTTAAAAGATAATTAAAGTTTTTGCTAGCTCTTTTGTGTAGAATTGCCCATGCTTATTGAAACCTATAAACCTGTAATCTCCTGATAATAATAATAGAATACAGGTTGAAAATTAAAACTGTTTTACTTTCTGATTGGAAACCAAAAAGATATTTTTGAAAAAAAGAGGGACAGCAAAATTGGTAGCAGTTATACTGCTTGACAATAAGTGAAGCTGAAACTTTGATATAACTTCACCACGGAAGCACCTTGGCTCAAATTAGCTCTTGTCTGTAACACTTAAGTTTGATTAATGAACATAGGCTTTTGAAAGATAAAAATTCAGGTGTAGGTGAGGGTTTTTTATTGATCGCACAATATGCATAATTATGTTAAAAAATACAAAATGTGTTTTTGAATATTGGAAATACGGTTTAGTTCAGGATCCCGTGTAAAGTCAGTATATAACATTTGTGAAACATATGAAGGCTTAGAAGAGCAGTGCTCCTTCATCTGTTTCTGTGGCCTTATTATTGATTGTTACAAATATTACTGCATATCAGATATATGGGCATCAGCTGGAAAATTAATATTGATAATTTCTTGGGGTTTGACAAGAGACTGGCCATGGACTGCTTTGAAAGTGTGTGTGTGTGTGTGTGTGTGTGTGTGTGTGTGTGTGTGTGTGAGCCCATTTGTGTGTGTGTGGAGAAAGACCAAGAGCATGTGATTTTTTGTGTTTGTGTGTATGCACAGGAAGATATATAACCTTTTTGCTGTGAAAGTTTATATTACAGTGTTTATTGCGCGCAGGCACCAGGCTTGTATTTACACACTTTTGAGTATGAGTGTACTAGTATAAGAAACATAGATAACCCTTCTGCCTTGACAGCCAGTGTATATTATATCTATAGACATAGTAAGCTTTCCAGGAGGTTTCATAATACTACAGATGTTTTTTCATGGCCACTATCATGTAGAACATAATTTTGAGCATATTACATAATTTCAAATGCTGATAATATACTGTGGTGGTGTGTTCACATTGGGACTAACTTAAACTGATAAATAACTTTGTGACATCACTGGGTAGCAGTTTTGTTGGAAGACAGCACAAGGGTTTACAATAAAATAAAATAAAAATAATTGAAAAGATGTTTTAGAATTTAATAAATGGGAAGAGGGGTTTTTATGTGAAAATCACAGAATTATAAAAAATTGTGAAATGAGGTCCATGTTGTATGAATAAAAAGCACTTTATCATAGCTTTTGACATTACTAAGTAGTTGGACTATTTCCAGTTTAAGTTGATCAGGGTTGGAATTGGACTTGAAACACCTGACGAGATTAACTACATTCTAAAGCACTTAGCACACCTGTGCGGTGCAGTATACCTGATTTATGGAACAGCAGGTATATGGTAACCCTGTGCTCTTGTTCTTGTTGATACATCAGTCTACACTGACAAATAAGGATTTAAACTTTTTTTTTTTTTGGGGGGGGGGGGGGGCTTAGTTAAAAATAATCAGTTTGAGCTTTTATTTTTGTGTCTGTGTGCAAGAAGTGAAGTATGTGCTGCATGTCTTTCTCTCATTCCCTCTCTTATTCTCTCTCTGTCTCTCTCGCTCTCAGCTACATACATACATATCAACATGTTGATTTTAACAACTGTTATTTTATTACATAACTTATTAAACATTACTAATGACAAAACAATTTATTACTCCATTCATCTTTTATGTCAGGTTTGACAACTACACTGCTTCTATGATGGTAGATGGCATTGCAGTGAACCTGGGATTATGGGATACGGCGGGACAGGAAGACTACGATAGGCTACGGCCACTCTCATATCCACAGGTATAGTCACTGCTGTGAGAGGTTTGGTAAATATTGTATCATCTGTGACTGCAAATAAGACCAGCAGTTGGTCAAGAGACAGCATAGTGCCCTTGTTTAACAATTACGGACAAGACATTATTATACTAGGGCTGTTTTGACAGTTATGAACAGAAGAGTATACCGCATACTATTGGAAATGCAGATTACTTGTAAACAAGATCAATGGCCTGTCAATAGGCAGCATGTTGACCTTGTTTAACAGTGATGGACATATGAGTATTTCCTGTTAGTTATGTTTAACAGAAATAGAACAGCTAAAACTATCATATTGAAATTACATTTTGCTTGCTCACAGAAAAATCCATATGCCAGCATGATTAATGGATTTATTTATTTATTTTTCAGACTGATGTCTTCCTGCTGTGCTTCAGTGTAGTATCGCCTTCATCCTACGACAATGTCGTCACAAAATGGCACCCAGAGATCCGCCATCACTGCCCGGATACTCCCATCATACTAGTTGGTAAGTCAAGTTCATTTTTCTGAGTTTCCAAATTGTCCATCTAGATTTGGTTCTACTGAAAACAAAAAATCTTAACATGTTAGTCAATTGAAATATCGTCTTTTCAATTGATGTTCTTTACTGTTGGTTTCAGCAAGACTTTTAAGATCAAGAGCTTGGTCCATCTTGAATCAGTCTTCTGAAAGATTCCAGAATATTTATTTGGTCATGGTTTAGGCCTATGCAAATTATATCTGAGAGTCCTAATGGGGGTTTACCATAGTGGAAACAAATGTCACATTTTAATATGGAAAACTGATATTACATTTCACATCATGATAGCTAAAATACAGCACAAATCACGTAAATGTTAGTGGTGACAAATATCAGGTTACATATTGAGATACTAGAAACACATTTCACATTTATGCATTGATCCTTCGCAGTAGTGAAAACAGCTAGTACTCCATTGTGATAATAAAGTTCAGATATCGCATTGTGGTAGAGAAGCTAGGCATCACAATCTGCATTGTGGTAATCAGGATGTCCACAGTTAAATACATTGTGTCTTTTCCCCCCAACCAGGTACAAAGATAGATCTGAGGGAAGACAAGGAGACTCTGGGGCAGCTGTCATCACTGGGTCTATCCCCTATTAAAAGAGAGCACGGTATTAAGCTGGCTTCCAAGATCAGAGCTATTAAATACATGGAGTGTTCTGCCCTGACTCAGAGAGGACTCAAACAGGTGAGTGTCCCTCTTTTTTTTTCTTTTTCTTTTTCTTAAATAGTAACATTTTTGTGATGAGAATCACTTAATTTGAAACAAAATTTTATGACAAATCTACATTTCACTGTTACCACTGAAAAAGATCTCTGATCTCAATGCCTATGGGTCATCATTACCAAAAACTTCGATTAAAAAGATGGTGAATTTTGGTTGATCTTTGGTTCTTCTTAATCTTTTTTAAATTAAATTATGTTAAGCTTAAAAAACTGAAATTTAAATTAAAGTTTTTTTTATTTGAAAAATGAAGTCAGGGTTAAGGATGATACAAAGTCATTGAAATAATTGTTGTGGCTGAATCTAGGGTCCTGCGTCAGCTTCAAAAAATTTATGTGGTGATGTTTTTAAACAATAGGCGAAACTTTTACAAAGACATTTTTTCTATGTTTCAGGTATTTGATGAAGGTGTCAGATCTGTCATAGCTCCGCAACCAGCAAAACCACAAGGAAAGAAATGCAAAGTATTATAACATTGGGGAAACAAATGTAGCTAGAAAGGAAAAAAAAAAAACAATTTTATACACAGAATGGTGTACACAACTTTTTCAGATCAACTGTGTTTCTTCATATGAAAAATATAGTGACATCTGGAAACAATTGTACAATTCAAATGCAGTGCAGTATATATTGTGTTTGATAATGTTACCTTTTAAAGGAGAAGTGTTGTGACATTTGGAAGCAGCTGTAGTTGATTATAACTTAAAATACAGAAAGTGTGCACATCTTGTTGGGATCATCTGCAAATGTTGGAGAAACTGAATCATTTGGAAATAGATCTTAGTCCACTGAATAATGTAAGATCTACAAATGTCAAAAGTGTGTCCAAAGTTTTAAGACAATCAGGTACTATTTTAAGATATTTGGCGACAGCCGTAACATTAAAAGTGTGACATACATGGAAAAACTGCATTTAAACTTTGAGAATATTTGTACCATTTATGTGAAAAGTGTCTTGAAATGGAAATTTCAGTTTTCAGAGCATATTTTCAAGCAGATTAATAAGAAATATACAGGGAGTTACAGAAAAAAGTGCACAGTTTAGGATTATGTAAAACAGCCGGTGGTCAAAAAGACTATTATACAATAGCAAGTTAGCACAAGCTTTCATTGAAGGCCATGCTGATGGATGACCTTCAATATCATAGCAACTGGAATTGCCTGTACCACCTGAAAATCTAGGTCAGAGGTGCACAGGTGTCATAGAGATCTACCAACATATCTTGTACTGCATGATATCAAATGACTGTTGAAACGTAGATGGGATACCAACAGTTTGGTGACTAAGAATAAGGACCTATTTCACAAAAGGAATTTAGCCTGGAAATTTGCTTCAACTTTGAGACCACAATTTGAATTTACTTTGATCCAAGATAATTAGGTATTTGTTCAGTTGAATTGAATATTACTCCTGCTTTATAAAGAGAAAGGTGTGGTTAATGTTCGAGACCAGTATATACTTTTTTTTTGAGTGAACTAATAAGAATTTTTCTGGAAGAAGACCAAAGTTTACTCTCTAAGATGAGACTAATTATCAGGCTAAAGTGCTTTTGTTGAAATGTCCCTTAACTATAGAAACTTGTCTTGTAGCAGGCCGAGTTTCATAGTTTTGAGAGCGACTCTTCCTTACTAGGAAGGCTGTTTTGTCAGTGTTTCTACTGAAATGCAGGTTGACTGGTGTAGATTAGTATAAAAACCTCACAAAACACCAAATGTCTGATTTAATTTTTTTTTATTATTAAAAAAAATTTTTTTTTACAGATGAAGCACATCTTGCAAAAATGAGATTATGATGTAAAGGACTGTATGTGAACGCTTTACTATGTACATGTTTACGTGCTGTTCAATTTAAGCTGAGACAGCTTAAAGTCAGATAATTTTGAAGCTGTTATCGTTGATAATCAACTCTGTATTACTGTTGATAAATGTTTCCTGTGAGTCATTTAAAACAATCATTTATAAATGTCAAATGTGCAAGGAAAAAATTGATGCAATGTTAGTATAGTAGGCTATCAATGTGAGTTTTGTACATTTTGCATCGCTCAAGACTTGTTTTGGCCAGTGACAGCTTACTGTTAGTAAAAATACTCGTAAAAAACCTTAAAATATTTAGATTGTAATTTTCAGATATGTATGCATATTGAATGTTATAAAATCAGGTTTAATAAAGTACCACCTATTGTGGAAGAAAAAAAGATAAAAAATTTCTTCAAAAAGATTGAAAGATTTCAGAATTTATTTGTATTTTTGCTCCTCAGATGTCACGTGATACAGCTGCATACCTTTGGAATTTGCATGGGCAGATTTTTTTCAGTTGTAATAGCCTTTGAAAATTACAGTCACCTCCCTGCCCCCCC